AAGCCGTTGGGGAGGACAAGCAAACTGTCCCCGTCCCCCGGGCTCGGCGCTGCTGCAGGCAGGGAGCAGAGCGAGAAAAGCCCTTTTTTTTTTGTCAGCCTCCTGGAACCATAGAATCATTTAGGCTGGAAAAGACCTCTAAGTTCATCCTTCCCCGGGGGTACGCAGCCCCGCCGCCCTGACCGTAGGAGCCAGGTTTTTGGCCAGCCGGCTTTCTGCACCAGCACGACCCGCAGCAGAGCCAATAGCTTGCAAAAGAGCGGTCTGAAGAAGGTCAAACACACCCTTAACTCTTCCCCCCCCTCAGGGCAGGCTGGTGGGGGTACGGGGCATGGCCACAATGCAGGCAGGGCTGTCACACCGGGTCCTCCATGGGCATCTCGAGGGGAGCAACCCATAAAACCCCCGGAATATGTGTCCTTAAGGGCTCCGGGGCCAAGGGCACAGCATCTCCGGCAGCGCGCCCTTGGCAAGCACCGCAGGAGGGAGACCCCCTCACCCCAGGGGCTCAGGTCACTTCTCGGTCGCAGCACCCATAGGACAGGGGTGCAAAGCCCGGACCACTGCCTGTGAACGATGCTCACCCCCCCTCACCCCTCCACCGGCACAACCCTCAGCGAGGCTGCCTCTACCTTCCCCACAGCATCCTCCCGCCGCATCACCAGCTCTGCTGCTCCGTGCCTGTCATCGGGATTCAGCCCCTTATCCCTCTCCTCCGGCGGGTCATTTTGGTCACGGGAGATGCAGGCGACGAGTGGAGGAGAAGGCGGCAGAGCTGCCCGCAAGCTGCCTGCAGAGAGGAGGAGATGGCTGGGCGGCTGGCAGCCTCCCAGCAAATCAGGCGGCGGAAGCCGTGCCTCGCTGAGGAGCCGCAGCGCCCAGGCAAAGCCCCGAGTTTGCTCGAGTGGCTGAGGCACGCTCTCCGCCGCGGCCATTTCCACCCGCAGCTTCCCAAGGCCCAGCCTCCCGCAGCCCTCGGCCCCACGCCATGCGAGCCCCTCGCGCCCCAGCCCCTCGGGGGCAGGTGTGACGAGCAGGGGATGCTCAGGGGACACGGTGGGATCCCGGCACACGGATGCTGCTGGAAAGGAGCGGCAGCCTGGCAGCTCTGATGGAGGCTTGGCAAAGCGTGATGAAAAATCCCTGCCCGAACTAGCAATATCAATCAGTCTTTATGGTCTGAAAGTGTATTGACTTGGTTTTTATATATATAAAATACATATATTAGTTATATATCACTGTGATGTGATGAGGTAGTGGAATTTTACTGGAGACTCTGGTATTGCTCATGCTTAAGTAAAACAAGCTAAAGGACAGCCCGGCCCTGGAAATAAGGACTTTGCTTCTGTGAAGCTGAGAGCTCTCCATGAAGGATAAAGGACAGCTTTATCCCTGGGACAACGGAGATAACGCCAGGGTCCTGGCACCTCTGACCCGTCTTTGAAATCCTCCCAGCATCGTCTGGCATCGCAGATCTGTAACTCGAGCAAGACTGACTCCAGGGATGCCTGGATCGACGGACAAACAGCGAGACCGCTGCAGAAATCGAGTGGCTTTGCAGAGTTTCGCCGTGATTAGCAATTGCGCCCGTGGGCGTTCGCAATTAGTCGAGTCATGTTGTACCTGGCTGCTTGAAGGGTTGTGAGAACCCCCTGTAAAACCGCATTTGGGTGCCCCGATTTGGCTGCAATGCCTCATATGCATGAAGAAATATTTACTCGTGTAATTCCCTGCTGTGCACCCCAGCCTCTCGCCCAGGTCGGCACGGGTCAGGTGTGAATTTTTACAACACGAGCCATGGGGTGAGGAACCTCAATGTCACACGTTTGGGCCGGTGCTTCCCACCTCTCCATTTCAGGTGCTCTCCTCCTCCCCTTATGCTCTGTGCCCTCAATAAAGTGGCTTCTCCACTGGATTTGCTGTCACTTAACTTGCATTTGCC